GCAAATCAGCTCTCGAACCTGTTCGGTGACAGCACAACTGACACTGTCATTTTTGCACTCCATGAGCAAATCTTTCACTCCCTTGGGCGAATTGCAGTCGGGGTTGAGGAAGGAGTTGCAGCTGTAGCAGCGCAGGCCGTCAACGGGGACAGTGACGAGGAGCAGAAAGGGTAGGACGAGGAGGAGGAAGAGGGTGGGGCGGACGATGACGATTGGGAGGCGGCGGCTACGGCAACGGACGCGGTCGGACGGAAGCGAGTCGGCCGAACTCAGAGACATTGCGACGGCTTGGCGAGTCGTGGAAGCCAAGAGGAGGTGACTCACCGCGGACGGCAGCTTTTCGCTCGGTCGGTCGATCGATTGAAGCCGACGAGGCGAACTGCGAACTGCGAACTGCGGAATGCGGACTGCGGACTGCGGCGAAGTGGCAAAGTGGCAAAGTGATGAAGTGGCGACAGTCACGAGTCGAGCAGCGTCTGAGAGCCAGATGGGCCGACAGATCGACCTGTCTGCCTGGCTTTCTATCTGTCTGTCTATCGCCTGTCCGCCGGCCCGACTGCCGGCCCGACTGCCTGCCTGGCTTAATGGCGGCCGATGCACTTTCCGACTACATGCTCTGCCAAGGCCAGCCTTGACACAGTCAAGTCAGCCTGGCGAGCGCTGATTGGCTCGTCGGCCGGCTGACCTGCGGTCGGCCGTAAACACGTCGGCACTTTAGGCCCAATGTGGCGCCGACTCAAGCATATTTACGTGTCAGGTGTGTCGTGGTGCCACTCTCAGTCGCCGCCCGCTTAACGCGCAGCCGGGCAGAGTGCGGTTAAACAACGCGGCATTACCGGTTGTCGCGGTCATTTGGCGCCTTTTTCGCTACGCCATCTGCTGGTCGTCCGTCCGTCCGTCCGTCCGTTTAAAGAGACTGTCCAACTGACGCGGAACGCATCAATCTCGCCAAAATGCGGCCACTACTCGAAGCGTCGATCAAATTGTTGCCGAATGTGTTGGTTACACCGCAGATGCTGTCGTTCGTCCGAGTCGGACGACCAAGTTCTGGTGCCGACTGGTCGGACCAAGCCGAAGTACTGACCGCATCAGCCGACGTTTCGGATTAACAGTCTGGTTGCCACCCCTTCAAGCGTGCTGGCGACAAAGTACAAATGCACCCACGCAGATGCATGCATGCGGTTCGGACAGACACGCCCACATGACGTGCACACAGACGGGGACAAACGTGCACCGACAGAGGCCCATGACGTCGTGAGTCTACAACTTCATATTCACCGGTATTTGCAGTCATGTGTACCGTTGTGTGTGTGTATAGGCATGTTCCGGTGCATGTGGTGCAGAGGAAGAGGCAAAATTAGGCGATTCTGATGCATTGCGATGAAGTGGGTCAGATTGTTGGATTGTTGTTCGTTCGCTTTCGGTTGAATGTGAAATCTTTCGGAAACCCCGCCTGGGGGTGTGGTGGGATGAGATGAAACAGCATCGTTGCTGGGTGGGGCGGGGTGGGGTGGGGTGAGCTC